TCACAATTCCTGCACAGAATGGCCAGTGGGCACTAAATAGTGCTTGATTGACTGGTGTGAGTTATTCCAGTTCCTATTGGGCAGTGTTGTTACTGATAGGAAGGGGAGGAAGTGGTTGGGTGGGGGGGGGGGGGGGGGGAGAGTGGATGTCGGTAGGAGGAGGGTTAATTCCTCTCGGAGATCTAGAACAGAGGACGCTGTGTGCCAAGTCTAGCATTCCCCTGGCTGTGTTCAAGCAAGGGACATCTCGAGTCTTCGAGATCCAGCCCTTTCTTTGGGAGTATCACGCTGAAGCTTTTGCATTTTGTGATCACAAATAGCATGTTCTTGCAGAAATCTGGAGTGACCCTCTGGGGGAGAGGGTGGGGGGGTTGCTTTGGTAAGTATATGCATTTATCTTTGAATCTCGGGGTCTCCCTAGTGGTTCTGAAGGGGGTATCCCAGCATCTGGTACTGAACACTGGGTCAGATCTACTGCAGATACTGGCACAGCGGAGAATAACCTCTGAGCTGGAAGCTGCAGGTTTGAGTCCCACACTTGAACTTGACATTCAAGGATGTGGGACAGTCATAAAAACTGTCTTGGCCATCGACTTGTAATTGCTTCCAACACATGGCAGTGACAGGCGGTAAGAGTGGGAGAGACGCCTGGGTAGTCCCGTGTTGGAAAGAGAAATGGAGTCTCCCCAATAGCTGCAGAAATGTGCACGCTGCCACAGCAGCTTAGATTCCCCACCCTCCCCGCCTCGGGGATACAGAGCAGATCGGTGCCAACAGCAGGGACTTCAATCCACCGGGACTTACCTCCTTGCCCCTCCCCTGGTTAGAGAACGTGGTACTACCTGTTGGAGCTGAGAACTCAAGGAGTAGATCCAGTCTGTATTCTTGTCCTAACAGCTTCAAACCACACCCCTGCACCGCCCGCTCCCCTCCCAAACCCCCAATTGCAATAAGAAAGCCAAGCACCTGAAACACTGGAATCTCCTCCCTGCCTCACTTTCTCTCTCTCCTCCCTCTACCATGCTACTTCAAACCTCTATTTCCCCAAAACCTTGCCTCATTTGTCCCACTGTCACATTCCTGTCTTGGTGACTTCATGGTAAACCTGATTGCTGAACACTCTTGAAAGGATTTACAACGTTAGAGGTGCTGTATAAATGTAAGATGTTGATGTGGTTTACACTGTACAACTTGCAACCTGTACCAGTGTTGTAGCAATCATTTCTGAGTTTGTAGGTCCTTGTGGGTTGAGTGTGTGTCTCTGTGCCTGTGTGTATGCATGTTTGAGTGAGTCTGTTAAGTCTGCCTGTGTGTGTCTGTCTATGTGTGTTTGTGTATGCGTCTGTCTGTGTGTGTGTATGTGTCTGTGTGTGTCTGTCTGTCTGTGTGTGTGTGTGTGTGTGTCTGTCTGTGTGCATTTGTGTGTGTTTGTGAGTGCCTATGTGTGTGCCTGTTTGTGTTTGTCTGCCTGTGTGTGCGTTAGTGAGAGTGTGTGTCTTTGTGTGTGCGTTCATGTGTCTGTCTGTGTGTGTGCGTGCGTGTCTGTGTGCATTTGTGAGTGTGTTCATGTGTATGTGTATGTGTCACTGTGTGCACATTTGTGTGTGTCTGTGCCTATTTGTGTGTGTGTCTGTGTGTGTGTGTTTGTCTGTGTTGATTTGTGTGTGTGTTTGTCTGTGTTTCTATGTGTTATCTGTCTCTGTGTGCATTTGTGTGTGTGTGTCTGTCTGTGTATGTGTCTGTGGGTATGTGTGGGTCTGTCTGTATGTGTGAACATGTGCATGTATGTGTGTGTATGTATGTGCTTTTCTGTATACATGTGTGTCAGTGTGTACGTCTGTGAGAACGTGTGCAATTATTTTCTTCTCGTGTGGTCACTGGAAAGCTTGTGTGTTGACCATGTGTTGGAGATTTTTATCCTTTCATGTGGGTGACACTGGCTGGGCCCAGCATTTACTGCCTGTCTGGATTGCCCCTGGAGATGGTGGGGATGAGCTACCTTCTTGAACCGCTGCAGTCTGTGTAGTGTAGGGACGCCCACACAGTGCCATTAGGGAGGGAATTCCAGGATTTTGACCCAGCAACACTGAAGGAACAGCCGATATATTTCTAAGTCGGGATGGGAAGAGGCTCGGAGGGGAACTTGCAGGGGGTGGTGTTCCCATGTAACTGCTGCCCTTGTCCTACTAGGTGGTTAGGGTTGTGGATTTAGAAGGTGCTGTCTCAGGAACCTTGGTGAATTTCTGCAGTGCATCTTTTGATGTAAACTAAGGAGGTTTGTTGTGATATGTGCTGAAGCCATTGACTTTAGTGACCTGTGTGTTAGAGAAATTGCCTTACCCACCTCTTTGATAACGATTGACTTGCTGGTGTCCTTTGTAGACTCCCCGCTGAGCGAGTCAGTGAGAGCAGGGAGAGAGAACAACAGGATGTGGCTCCATCAACCAGCTCGCTTGCTAATCTGGACCCAGAGACGTAGAGTCATCACTATCTCTGTCCTTCACAGGCAGTGGATGCACAGTTATCACTTCAGAATTAACATGCAAAACACGGACCCATTTCCTTTCTCTGTCCTCCATAGCGACAGGGAATTATTGCAACATTCTGCTCTCACATCTGCTTTCCTCCTGATAAGACACATCATTGCTGCCATAGAGCCGCATCCATTATCCAGCAGGCCCTGTGTCCTAAACCCCACCATGTCCCCTTTTGCCCGTCCCTCTGGTGTTCACAGAGCTGTAGTGGTGGGCTGGTCCATCACCATCTAGACTTGCAAAGCCTCGGCCTAGTGTCCAGATGCCTCCTGGGACTAGCCTCTCCCTCAGTCTGCAGCCTGCACACCCCATCTCCGCTCGCCTTCAATTCAGGCCTGATTCCCATCGCTCCTCCCATGCCCTCAGCTGCTAAGAGTCCTCAGCTCTGGAATTCCTTCCTCAAAGCTCCCACTTCTCTCTCTGTCTCGCTCTCTCTCTCTTCCTGGGCAGCTCCCTTGACATCCTACCGTCAGACCACGTCTCCCCAAAGTGTTAAAAATTTCATACCAATTCTGGGAAGGAGACTGTGGAGTTTCCTTGCATTGAAGGCGCTATATGAATTGAAATCAAGAGACTGGGAGTGACGATGATTGTTCCAATGAATCTTTGCCCTGATTCTTAATGTTTCATCCCTCTGCCTTCACCAACGGAAGATAGGAGGTTCAGTCCCGAGTCCCCCCACTGATTGCGACTGTAGCAGCAGCAGATTCTGTGCCAAGTTGTTGAGCACTGTAGGGACAGGAGCTGGCCCTTCAGCCCTCTCTAACCTCTCTAATTCATGGCTGAGTGCTCCATATCTGTCCCTCAGATACAGCTAAAGGAGGCGGAAAAAGAACCCCGAACAGCAGCTAGATGTGACTACAATGAGATCAGAATCTGTAAATACGTACATAGAAGGTTTCCACAGTCAAACAAGTTTGGAGTCACATGTAGACAATTAGAAACAGCAAAGGGCAGACACTCGATAAATGTAGGTTTAGGATTATACTTTCCTTTTAGAGTCCCAACACCCATGGTTAGTTACTCCAGTAGAGATGGAATAGAAACTTTGGAAACCAAGTCATTGTTTGCAATTGTTTCTGCATTTCCCTTTTAGGAATGCGTGCATTGAGGATGTTAAACCTTCCAGCTATCTGTTATCTACTGTTCTTTAAAGTTGGCCTAACTGTTTCTCAGTGTAAGTCCTACACTGATCTAGCAGGTAAGCTCGGGACCAACTGCAGCCATCGCTCCCTTGTGTCTGTCCCTCGTTCTCTCCCA